GTCTCTGGCCCCCTAGACTGTACTCCGTCTGCGGTCTTCTTTGCCCTTCCCCAGTCTTCATGACTTTGCGCTTGGTGGGGTTGAACTCCAGGAGCCAATTGCTGGACCAGGTCTTCAGCCTGTCCAGATCCCTTTGTAGTTCTGCCTGGTCTTCGATCGGATGAATTCTTCTCATGAACTTCACGTCATCTGCAAACAGGGACACTTCAGAGTCTATTCCTTCCGTCATGTCATTCACAAATACCAGAAACAGCACTGGTCCTAGGACTGACCCCTGTGGGACCCCGCTGGTCACAGGTGCCCAGTGTGACACCTCGCCACGTACCATGACTCGCTGCTGTCTTCCTGACAGGTATTCCCTGATCCATTGTAGTGCCTTCCCTGTTATCCCTGCTTGGTCCTCCAGTTTTTGCACTAATCTCTTGTGTGGAACTGTGTCAAACGCCTTCTTGCAGTCCAAGAAAATGCAATCCACCCACCCCTCTCTCTCTTGGCTTACTGCTGTCACCATGTCATAGAACTCCAGTAGGTTTGTGACACAGGATTTCCCGTCCCTGAAACCATGTTGGCTGCTGTTGATGAGATCATTCCTTTTTAGGTGTTCCACCACTCTTCTCCTGATAATCTTCTCCATGACTTTGCATACTACACATGTCAGTGACACTGGTCTGTAGTGTGTGTGTGTGTGTGTGTGTGTGTGTGTGTGTGTGTGTGTACTCACCAAATTGTACTCACCTAATTGTGGTTGCAAGGGTTGAGACTCAGCTCCTGGCCCCGCCTCTTCACTGATCGCTACTAGGTCCTCTCTGCTTCCTGAGCTTTGTCATACGTCGTTTTCAAGCTATGTATGGTTCCTGCCTCCACTACATCACTTGCTAGGCTGTTCCACTTCCTGGCTACTCTATGACTTAAGAAATACTTCCTAACATCCCTCTGACTCGTCTGAGTCTTCAGCTTCCAATTGTGATCCCTTGTTTCTGTGTCCCCTCTCTGGAACAACCTGTCTCTGTCCACCTTATCTATTCCACGCAGTATTTTGTTTGTCGTTATCATGTCTCCCCTGACCCTCCTTTCCTCCAGTGTCGTCGGTCCGATTTCCCTCAACCTTTCTTCGTAGGACATTCCCCTGAGCTCCGGAACTAGCCTTGTTGCAAACCTTTGCACTTTCTCTAATTTCTTGATGTGCTTGACCAGGTGTGGGTTCCAAACTGGTGCTGCATACTCCAGTATGGGCCTGATGTACACAGTGTACAGTGTCTTGCACGATTCCTTACTAAGGTATCGGAACGCTGTTCACAGGTTTGTCAGGCGCCCATATGCTGCAGCAGTTATCTGGTTGATGTGTGCCTCCGGAGACATGCTCGGTGTTATGGTCACCCCAAGATCTTTCTGCTTGAGCGAGGTTTGCACTCTTTGGCCACCTAGCCTATACTCTGTCTGCGGTCTTCTTTGCCCTTCTCCGATCTCCATGACTTTGCATTTGGCATGGTTGAATTCAAGAAGCCAGTTGCTGGACCACGTGTCCAGCCTGTCCAAGTCTCTTTGAAGTCTTGCCTGATCCTCATCTGGTTTAATTCTCCTCATTAACTTCAATCATCTGCGAACAGGGACACCTCTGAGTCTATCCCTTCCATCATGTCATTCACATATACCAAAAATAGCACTGGTCCTAGGACCGACCCCTGTGGGACCCCGCTCCTTTGCAGTGACCTTCCTGTTATACGCGCCTGATCCTCTAGTTTCTGCACTAGTCTCTTGTGTGTGTGTGTGTGTGTGTGTGTGTGTGTGTGTGTGTGTGTGTGTGTGTGTGTGTGTGTGTGTGTTAGCAGAACTTCAGAAAAATAAATTGCCCCTGACATGACAAACAGGGCGACAACTCTACAATGAGTACAATGTGACCTCTGTCGAGTTGGGACAATGATAGGTTATGAAACTGACAGAAAAGTGGGTGAATGAACGTGGGTTAGTGTGGGTGAGTGAACGTGGGTGTGGGTGACACAGGTAGGAAAAATTCTTCCACTTGTGTACTTGTAGTGTGACCTGCGTTAATGGTGCATCTCTCCTCTTCTCTACCCTGCACACACAGTGCCAACCACTGTAACGGCTGTTGTAACAACCACATACACAGTACCAACCACTGCACCAGCTGTAACAACCACATTCACAGTGTGTGTGTGTGTACTCACCTATTTGTACTCACCTATTTGTGGATGCAGGGGTCGAGACTCAGCTCCTGGCCCCGCCTCTTCACCGAGTGTGTGTGTGTGTGTGTGTGTGTGTGTGTGTGTGTACTCACCTATATGTGGTTGCAGGCCCGGCCCAAAGCTTCTGGATTCGCCCCCTCGCTAATTGCTAACAGATCCACTCCGTGCTCCAAGAGGCCTATTGCACCTCTTCCTTAAGCTATGCCTGGATCCCCCCTTCAAAACCTCACCCTCCAGACCGTTCCACTGCCTTGACAACTCCAAGGCTGAAGAAATACCTAACAACATTCCCATGACCCACTTGAGCCCCCAACTCCCACACCCACCCCCGAAACACTCAGCCCCCGTCCACCTTGCCAACTCCTCTCAGCACCCTAGTATGTCATTATCATGTGCTCTCCATACCTCCCGCCCCCTCAGCGAAGCCAGGTTGAGCTCCCCCAACCTCTCCTTATAGGACATGTCTCCCAGCTCCGGAACTAGTCCCTCTCCAAACTCCTGTACTCTCACTCCCATCAAACTTCCCGGCGTACTTGACCAAGTGTGTGTTCCATACTGGTGCTGCATACTCCAAGACACGATGTACATTGTCTTGAATGACACCTTACTTAGGTGTCAAAACACTATTCTTAGGCTTGCCAGGCGCCCATATGTTGCCTGTACTCCGTCTGCGGTCTTCTGTGTCCTTCCCCAAGCTTCATGACTTTGCACTTGGTGGGGTTAAACTCCAGGGGCCAATTGTCGGACCAGGTTTGCAGCCTGTCCAGATACCTTTGTAGTCCTACCTGATTCCCGTCTGCTTAAATTCTCCGCTTTAGCTTCACGTCATCTGCAAACATGAACACCTCTGAATCATGTCATTGATATACACAAGAAACAGCACCGGCCCTAGGACTGACCCTTGTGGAACCCCTCTCGTCACATGCACCCACTCTTACACCTCGTCACGCATCATCACTCATTGTTTCCTTCCTGTCAGGTATTCCCTGACCTACTGCGGAGCTTTTCCTGCCTGCTCCTCTAGCTTTTGTACCAGAAACTTGAGGTGTGTGTGTGTGTGTGTGTGTGTGTGTGTGTTACCATTTTGTCAAAGGCACTTGTCAGTAAGACACTTGGCCTGATTGGTGTACTCACCTATTTGTACTCACCTATTTGTGGTTGCAGGGGTCGAGTCCTAGCTCCTGGCCCCGCCTCTTCACCGGTTGCTACTAGGCCCTCTCTCTCCCCGCTCCATGAGCTTTATCAAACCTCGTCTTAAAACTGTGTATGGTTCCTGCCTCCACTACGTCATTTTCTAGGCTATTCCACTGCCTTACAACTCTATGACTGAAGAAATACTTCCTACTATCTCTCTGACTCATTTGTGTCTTCAACTTCCAATTGTGGCCTCTTGTTTCTGTGTCCCCTCCCTGGAACATCCTGTCTTTGTCCACCTTGTCTATTCCACGCAGTATTTTATATGTCGTTATCATGTCTCCCCTGACCCTCCTGTCCTCCAGTGAGGTCAGGCCGATTTCCCTTAATCTTTCTTCATAGGACATTCCCCTTAGCTCTGGAACTAACCTTGTCGCAAACCTTTGTACTTTCTCTAGTTTCCTGACGTGCTTTATCAAGTGCGGGTTCCAAACAGGTGCTGCATACTCCAGTATGGGCCTGACATACACGGTGTACAGTGTCTTGAATGATTCCTTACTAAGGTATCGGAATGCTGTTCTCAGGTTTGCCAGGCGCCCATATGCTGCAGCAGTTATCTGATTGATGTGTGCTTCCGGAGACATGCTCGGTGTTATACTCACCCCAAGATCTTTCTCCTTGAGTGAGGTTTGCAGTCTTTGGCCACCTAGCCTATACTCTGTCTGTGGTCTTCTGTGCCCCTCCCCCATCTTCATGACTTTGCATTTGGCAGGATTAAATTCGAGAAGCCATTTGCTGGACCAGGTGTCCAGTCTGTCCAGGTCTCTTTGAAGTCCTGCCTGGTCCTCATCAGATTTAATTCTCCTCATTAACTTCACATCATCTGCAAACAGGGACACTTCTGAGTCTAACCCTTCCGTCATGTCGTTCACATATACCAAAAATAGCACTGGTCCTAGGACCGACCCCTGTGGGACCCCGCTCATCACAGGTGCCCACTGTGATACATCATTACGTACCATGACTCGTTGTTGCCTCCCTGTCAGGTATTCTCTGATCCATTGCAGTGCCCTTCCTGTTATATGCGCCTGATGCTCTAGCTTCTGCACTAATCTCTTGTGAGGAACTGTGTCAAAGGCCTTCTTGCAGTCCAAGAAGATGCAATCAACCCACCCCTCTCTCTCTTGTCTTACTTCTGTTATTTTATCATAAAACTCCAGATGGTTTGTGACACAGGATTTGCCTTCCGTGAATCCGTGCTGGTTGGCATTTATACTCCTGTTCTGTTCCAGGTGCTCCACCACTCTCCTCCTGATAATCTTCTCCATAATTTTGCATACTATACACGTCAATGACACAGGTCTATAGTTTAGTGCCTCTTTTCTGTCTCCTTTTTTAAAAATGGGAACTACATTTGCCGTCTTCCATACCTCAGGTAGTTGCCCAGTTTCCAGGGATGTGTTGAAGATTGTGGTAAGTGGCACGCACAACATATCTGCTCCCTCTCTAAGGTGTGTGTTTGTGTGTGTATGTGTGTGTTTAGGACAGCATAGGAGGAACATTTTTATTGAACAGCATAAGACATTACAAGTGTGCATTGCTGGCATATTCAGCAATCTTATATTCTCATGTAATTGCAAATAACATTTCTCATATAAATAAACTTCTGGCAGGTACACGTTTGGGGAGCCAGTGCGAGGTAATCTCACACTGGAAGTGAGCAATGCACAGAGCAGAAACTGCCGGGTAGCTGTCAACAAAACTGACTCTGTAAGTTGTGTTATTTGGTGTAATTTCTGGGCTACAGAGGCAAAGTGTAATGTTGGAGCTATTATCAAAAAGTTCATGTTAGTGAAGTTATGAAAGTTAAGACACATGTGCAACATCTGGTTATCATTATTGTAGATGTTTTGCCATCCAGTGACTTTATAAATACAGAATCTGATTGATAAAACCACTGGATGGCAAAAACGCTACAATAAAGATAACCAGATGTTGCACATGTGTCTTAACTTTCTTCGTGGTATTGTATACCTTTCTTGCACATAGTGAAGTTATATTAATACATTCAGTGATATGCTGTATATGTACACACCATTTTGAATCCGCACACAAACATAGATTATTTTCTCAGGAAAAGTGGTATCCTAGAAGTGGCATAATATGCAACAACCAATGGAAACACTAAAAAAAAATCATAACATTGAAAACGGGACTCTCACAAACAAATCTGTTCCTATAATAGGAAATGGGAAATCATAAACAGAGTTTCACAAAGGTTACCTGTGCTTCCGTGGTTAGAATAATTAGCGTGTTAGGGAAAATACTTGGATTTGATTTTCGAGTAATAATAATTCGAGATTTTGTTATTCTTGAACGCAGACGTATGGACGAGTTTTTAAAGTTTCTGCTTATTCTCGCCTAGTAGTAAATAGTCGCTGTAAATGAGTGTTATTCAAATGTATGTCACATCTGAAGATAAAGCGTTCAGTATGCAAATACTCCACGGGCATTGTTCCACTCTTGTAACTGCAGATAGGTAATCTCCATTAATATTCTCATATATACACAAGTATAATTGCACGTACATATTCATTTTAACTAATTAGGTTAAACTTTGGAACTCAAACCTTGTCATCGTATTATATTTAGCAATGATTTAACTAAAATTCCATATCTGAGAATTAAAGTAATTTTGACTAATTTATTTTAATCAGGAGTGAAACGCTAAGCCTGTAGGGGGTCATATAGGACCAGGGAAATGGAAGATATTCAGGTTCGAGCCAAGGAATGGGAGGATAGATTCAGTTCTTTGGATTAAGAGGCCCTCACCAGCATCAAGGGACCGACCTCCCTTGAGTTCTTGACTGGTAGTGTATAAGAGATATTGCAGATTTTATCGCCCCACGTGACGTTACTACACTAAACCTAAGAAACTAACCATGTGAACATGAAGTCATTTTCTGCATGAATAATGTTTCTCCTGTTTAGTGGGTTGAAAGCTAATTTATATTAATTTCTTTAAAGTATCTTAGTTTATGGGCGATGTTTTGATGGTTCAGATATTAAACTTTACATTTGGAGCCGTCATTCCTGGCATCATTTTGAATTATTATTGATAAAATTATAATAAACTTTATTTCTGCAAGGTATGTTTTACACTTGATTCAGAAGGTGACATTGTTGACAGGTGGCGAGTCTTTATACTGATTTTATTTTTTTGTCAGACGACGTTTATGTACAAGTATATACCTTTTAACTCCCCTCAAGGAAGGTTCCTTGATGCTGGTGAGGGGCTCTTGATCTAGGGAATTGGATCTGTGCTCTGGTTCCCTGAATTACACATGAATACCTTCCACATCCCTTCACAGGCGCTGTATAATCCTACGGGTTTAGCGCTTCCCCTTGATTATAATAATAATAATTACCTTTTAACTTTTCTTTGACTTACCCCTCCCCCCCAAAAAAATAAAACTCACAATATATTTGTTATGTTTTAACACTTACAATTAGGCTGGATGTTTATCATTTGCTAACGGTCAATACTACCCTTGTAGTTGTATACAGATTCATATCCTAAAATGCCCCCTCGAAACCTCTTTGTAATTTGGACAATGATAAAATAAATCTCAAATTATTTCCCTTTAATTGACAACATAATATCCCATTGTTAATACACGTTTCTAAAACATGTTAAATTTGTTGTTTTTGCTAGATCTCTGGGTGTAGAGAGGTGGAGGTACATTCAGAAGAGATCCGGATGATAGACTGCAGTGTGAACACAGTGCAGGTGAAGGCTATAGTTAGTGAGGAGGGCACCGGGGTGCTTCTCACAGACACTTCCCATGTCACAGTCTCCAGAAGAGCTCTCACCTTCCACACTGTGTACGAAGATGACTACATGAAGCCAAATCTTCCTTACACCTTAAAGGTTTGCATCAGCAGTTTAAGTATTTTTATCTACTTATATCTACGTGTTATACACAAAAGTTGCAATACCGTGGATGGAATAATTTACAAGTAACACAATTAAGAGAGGAAAATTTAGACAATGTTTCGGTTCATGCGGTTTCATAATGATTCAAGTTCGACTAAAATTCATCTAAAATTTATTCTCCAAATTGTGGGTTTGTTGTGAATATACAGATAATCTCTTTACTCCTCTAATCACGAAATGAGTTTGATCGAAAACTTCGGCGGGACACTCATATTGCGTATAATTTTCGTTATTATAATAAAGACATCTCTAAACCCATAAGGTTTTAGCGCATCTATACAGTGTTTGAATAACATAATTCACCACAGTTAAATTCTGTCACATCTATAACGATCGATGAGTACAAGCAGGCAGTGTGCTATGAACTCCAAACAGAGGCTCGAGTCTCCAAAACTTGTGTTGAAGGAGGTAACTAGATGCTAAAGGAAGGGAAATTTTAAACACTAAATAAAAATATATTAAGCTTATATTACAGAATATTTTATACACAGTATAAAATATTTAGTGATAGTTATGTGAAGCACTGTTAATACAGTACAACTGTTCTAACAGTTATCACCCACGGGGTAAAGGGGAGTCTATCACTCACGGGGTGGCGGAGGGTGTCATCCATGGGGTGGGGGAGAGTTTACCAGTAACGGGGAGGGGGAGACTTTATCATCGACGGGGTAGGGGAGAGATTATCATCCATGGGGTGGGGGAGAGTTTATCATCCACGTAGTGGGGAAGAGTTTATCATCCACGGGGTAGGAGAGAGTGTCATCCACGGGGTAGGAGAGAGTGTCATCCACGGGGTGGGGAGAGTTTGTCATCCACGTAGTGGGGAAGAGTTTATCATCCACGGGGTAAGGGAGAGTGTCATCCACGGGGTGGGGAGAGTTTGTCATCCACGGGGTGGGGGAGAGTTTATCATCCACGGGGTGGGGGAGAGTTTATCATCCACGGGATAGGGGAGAGTGTCATCCACGGGGTGAGGGAGATTTTATCACCCACGGGATGGGGGAGAGTATCATCCACGGGGTGGGGGAGAGTTTATCATCCACGGGTGGGGGAGAGTTTATCATCCACGGGGTGGGGGAGAGTTTATCATCCACGGGGTGGGGGAGAGTTTGTCATCCACGGGGTGGGGGAGAGTTTATCATCCACGGGGTGGGGGAGAGTTTGTCATCCACGGGGTGGGGGAGAGTTTTCATCCACGGGGTGGGGGAGAGTTTATCATCCACGGGGTAGGGGAGAGTTTGTCATCCACGGGGTGGGGGAGAGTTTATCATCCACGGGGTGGGGGGAGAGTTTATCATCCACGGGGTGGGGGAGAGTTTGTCATCCACGGGGTGGGGGAGAGAGTTTATCAATCCACGGGGTGGGGGGAGAGTTTATCATAAACGGGGTGGGGGAGAGTTTGTCATCCACGGGGTGGGGGAGAGTTTATCATCCACGGGGTGGGGGGAGAGTTTATCATAAACGGGGTGGGGGAGAGTTTGTCATCCACGGGGTGGGGGAGTGTTTATCATCCACGGGGTGGGAGAGAGTTTATCATCCACGGGGTGGGGGGAGAGTTTGTCCTCCACGGGGTGGGGAAGAGTTTATCATCCACGGGGTGGGGAAGAGTTTATCATCCACGGGGTGGGAGAGAGTTTATCATCCACGGGGTGGGGGAGTGTTTATCATCCACGGGGTGGAAGAGAGTTTATCATCCACGGGGTGGGGGGAGAGTTTGTCATCCACGGGGTGGGGAAGAGTTTATCATCCACGGGGTAGGGAAGAGTTTATCATCCACGGGGTGGGGGAGATTATCATCCACGGGGTGGGGGAGAGTTTGTCATCCACGGGGTGGGGGAGAGTTTATCATCCACGTGGTGGGGGACAGTGTGTCATCCACGAGGTGTGGGAGAGTTTGTCATCCACGGGGTGGGGGAGAGTTTGTCATCCACGGGGTAGGGGAGAGTTTATCATCCACGGGGTAGGGGAGAGTTTATTATCCACGGGGTAGGGGAGAGTTTATTATCCACGGGGTGGGGGAGAGTGTCATCCACGGGGTGGGGGAGAGTGTCATCCACGGGGTGGGGGAGAGTGTCATCCACAGGGTGGGGAGAGTTTATCATCCACGGGGTAGGGGAGAGTTTATCATCCACGGGGTAGGGGAGAGTTTATCATCCCGGGGTAGGGGAGTTTAGTTTATTATCCACGGGGTAGGGGAGAGTTTATTATCCACGGGGTGGGGGAGAGTGTCATCCACTGGGTGGGGGAGAGTGTCATCCACGGGGTGGGGGAGAGTGTCATCCACAGGGTGGGGAGAGTTTATCATCCACGGGGTAGGGGAGAGTTTATCATCCACGGGGTAGGGGAGAGTTTATCATCCACGGGGTAGGGGAGAGTTTATTATCCACGGGGTAGGGGAGAGTTTATTATCCACGGGGTGGGGGAGAGTGTCATCCACGGGGTGTGGGAGAGTTTATCATCCACGGGGTAGGGGAGAGTTTATTATCCACGGGGTGGGGGAGAGTTTATCATCCACGTAGTGGGGAAGTTTATCATCCACGGGGTAGGGGAGAGTTTATCATCCACGGGGTGGGGAAGAGTTTATCATCCACGGGGTAGGGGAGAGTTTATTATCCACGGGGTGGGGGAGAGTTTATCATCCACGTAGTGGGGAAGTTTATCATCCACGGGGTAGGGGAGAGTTTATCATCCACGTAGTGGGGAAGTTTATCATCCACGGGGTAGGGGAGAGTTTATTATCCACGGGGTGGGGGAGAGTTTATCATCCACGGGGTAGGGGAGAGTTTATTATCCACGGGGTGGGGGAGAGTTTATCATCCACGTAGTGGGGAAGTTTATCATCCACGGGGTAGGGGAGAGTTTATCATCCACGGGGTAGGGGAGAGTTTATCATCCACGGGGTGGGGAAGAGTTTATCATCCACGGGGTGGGGAAGAGTTTATCATCCACGGGGTGGGGAAGAGTTTATCATCCACGGGGTGGGGAAGAGTTTATCATCCACGGGGTCGGGGTTTTATCCAGTACATGGTTAACCTTCCCCTCTTCCACTAGCTCTGAGTCTAGATACACGGGCTCATTGCTTCACTGGCGCAGTGGTGCTAAACTGTAGGGGTGAGGCCTGAGGATTGGGAAGTAAGTAGGTTTGATCCGAGGAAAGGGAGAGCAGCTCGAATTTCCTAGACCAGAAACACTTCATCAGTAATATAATAATAACATGAACAACTCGTTTATGTGAACATTTCAGTTTTGAGTGAACATCAAGTTAATGTGTCAGTGTTTACTGCAGCTGTTCCGCTCATGTGATGATTTATACTTTAATCTACACACTAATAATACTTTATACTTAACATTATAATAATATTTCTTACTTTATACTATAATAATACTTAATACTTTACACTATACTAATACTTACAACTTTACACTATAATAATACTTAATACTTTACATTGTAATAATAATAATGGCCTCAATTATACCCATTAACAAGTAGATAGTTTTAACATAGTGCTAAATATGACAACTAGTATGTATAGTGGCACATTGTTGTTACTGTGTAAGTGTTGCAACAAACACCTTCAACACTACTGATATACTTGTAACACTTACAGTAATAAAATTACCACCCCGAACAATTTCAGAGTATCTGGTATATTATATAAATTTCTTACAAAAGAAACTTAGCACATTGAGTTTTAACCAAGAGCACCGGACCTGATAATATTTCACTCGTATTTCTACAAGATAATGACTACGAATTGAAAGTATCCATATCCATCATCTGTACTGTGTCGTTTGAGCTCAAGTTGGCCAAAGCCACTTCTCTTTTTCCAGAAAAATAGATCGAATGTCAATAGGTAAAGGCCTGTTAGTATACTTAGTGTTATGTCCAAAATTCTAGAGAAAGTAGTTATTATCAGGTAGCTAATTATGTTAATGACAACAGATTCCTACATGCACTATTTACCATTAGGTTTCAGAGGTGTCTCAACTTTAACCTGACGAATTATATAAGAACCAAAATGTCAAAACAGAATTTCATACATATGAACTATGGTATGTTATGTAAAAAAAAAAAAAACTACAAGCTATTGGCACAGACTCTGTAGACTTGTTTAATTATTATTATTATTATAATAAAAAAGAAGCGCTGACCCTACAAGAGACTTGTCAAATGTGTTGCCAAAAACATGTTGTGTTCCACAAGACTGTATCTTTGATCCCTTGCTTCTTGTATTATGTAAATGACATGCCCATTAGAAATAAGCACAAACTCATTTTGTGTGTAGATGACAGTTCTCTCTTAGTGTCATGAAAATCCCCACAGGATATAACTAAACTATCATTGGATCTAGAGTCATAGCGGTAAATAGGTAATAGGTAAACTTCACTATTGTAAAACGCAAACAATACTGTTTGACTCGTTACAAGGTAAACTGAAGAGGTAAATAGTTTTAATGTTCTGTGTAAAAAGGAACTCTTATCAACAATAACTTCAGTAAAATATTAAGGAATACCCCTTGGTTCATGTATATTAGGTAAATTTGCAGTGAACATTGTTAAAAAAAAGTACAATATTAGATTAAAGTTCCTTCAAAGTCAGGCGTGAGGCAGACCTGCTGAGGCATTCACTCAGTAGTCAGTGTTTTGCTCGTATACAATATCATGTAGATTACAAGTCACCCACAATAAGATAGTGAGATTCATACTGGACTTGGTTCTAAGAGAACATGCAGGTCAGGATGAATTACAAACGCGGGGAATGCGGAAGTGGCGAACCTCAATCGTTACAAAATAGATAACAACCACTGTTTACAATATCTTGCTGCAAATTTTGTAAAGCTTAGGAACCAGTTATACATGGAATTAAACACAATTTAGCATCCATAATAAGTGGTCAAGCCGTAAACGTTTATTATGCAACGATAAAGGGA